CCAAAACATAGCCACATGTTTATAGAAAAATTAAAGTTTTCACAAAGGAATTAAAATTTTCACAATTCAAGTGGAAATGTATTGATTTCATGACTTAGTAATTTTAAGTCTTGGTCCTTGGAATTATTAGTTGAGCAAATACAAATATTTGTTGACTTGTACTGCATGCATAAAGTTGAGCAAATACAATTATTAGTGGTGCAAGTAATTAATTGAGATGTTTTTTATTTTTTTATTTGTAAGGAATTAACTGGGATGTTGGGACATGGAACCCCTCTGGATCCATGTGTCCTAATCCACCAAGTTCAATCATTCAGGCCATTAAAATTTGATTAAACGGCTACAAACATGAGTCAACTTTAAAAATTACAATAATTTTAACCGTTGGATCAAATTTTAATGGTTCGGATGATTGGATTTGATGGATTAGGACACATGGATCCGGAGGGGATCCATGTCTGGGATGTTGATGGGGATCACAGAGATGGTAGGCTGGCATTGGATGTGGTGGGGTTTTATCAAAGGATTACTGATTTTCTTTCTTGTAGGGAATTACCTGAAATGTTTTTGGTATTCTAAAAATTTCTCATCAATGCGGGCAATAGGATAACCCTATTTACTTTTGAGCAATTTCCATTTACTTTAAACTCCCATGACTTTTTAGATATTTAGAAAACCATTTTCACACATTTTCCACGCGTTTAGAAGGCTTTAGGGTCTGTTTGTGATTGTTGTGTCTTTTTTTTTTTAAATTGCTTATGATGTATTTCAAGAATAATCTGCGGTAAAATAAAATAGTTGAACATTTAATAAATTGTATATTTAGTAGTGCTAGTATGAAAATGAGTGTAAAAGCATTTGGTAAATTTAATGAAAAAATGATACTATTGTATATAATGACAAACATATGCATAGTTGTGAGGGTGGTGGCAACAACAGCAATGGTGGGGGTAGTGGCGATGATGGTAGCGACAATTGTGGAGGGTATTTTAAGAATTAAAAATAGGAAGTTTAAGGAAAAGCCCGTGGTACTGTTCACTTTAATGAAAAACCATTTTTTTACACTAAAAAGTCAAACCTAGTACTATTCACTTTACCCTTTATTTTGTCCTTATTGTTAAAACTCAAAGTTTTCAAGTCATTTTCATTAGTTTTCCTTTATAAATATTCATTAAATGCTTAGCTTTGCTTTTTATAAAAAGTAAATTTTAAAAGTAACCTACAAGTTGCTTTTAAAAGTTGTTCTCTAGAGGCGATTGCGTTAAAAATAGGTACGCTATATGTGTAGAGAGTAAGTTGGGTGTAAAAAAAGGTTATATGAGTTCAAATAAAATTCTCATTTGTTTTTGTTATGGATAATGCTAGGAAAACCAAATTTTTAACAAAAATGCTACTTTTACCATCTAGTTGTACTATCATTTGTACTATCTCTCTAATAGATATGAAACTCATATGCGTTGACGGGCCTTACCTCTATTAGAGAGATGGTACAAATAGGTGGTAAGTGTAACATTACTCAATTTTAACCAAATTTACAAATTAAATAACATGTCCCCAATAGAAAATACATGTTAATCAACACTTAACTAATAATTAACAATCATGTCATTTGGTTGATAAATTTGATTTAAAAATTTGATCTCCTTAACAGTATGTGTTTGTTATTGTGAGATAATTTGTGGTTTGTGTTAACCTAAAATGAGATCCATTTTTTCGCTGTAGTTAATATCAAATCAATAGTGAATGGCCATATATATCTTGGTCATCCAAATTTTGTGACACTAGTTTCAAAGAGTACTCATTTCCTAAGCTGGAGCACAACTAAAGCATGCACGTGCAAGTAGTTTACATCTCAAAATACAAGCTTGCATCAGATTTATATAGACAAGAAAATGCCCTTGCAAATTTAAATAGAAAAAAAAAATGAGGAGCAGAAATATCTGCTACGAGGTATGGTGGACTTGTATTGCACCATTAGCGTCGCAATCATATTGTTTTTATAGGATGGCGAATTTCTTTGGGTTCTTAGTCATCTTAGCCAATTTTGGATGTCATTTCGTCTCAAACACGGCACAAAAGAGAAGTAGACATGCGTAATTATTTCAGTCAAATTTGGGTTCTACAGGACACGGTCTGGTTCAGTGCGGCTTTGAGTGAAACCGCAACCGAAATCAAAACTTTTTACGATGCGGTTTGGTGTGGTTTTGAAGGAAAAACTAAAATGAAACCAAACTGTTTGGTTCAATTCGGTGCGGTTTCAAACTGTTTTGGTTCATTTTTTTAGAAAAAAATTGTACAATTTAAAATTTGCACCTATCAACGCATAAGACGGCCTCATTTTCCACACAACACATATAATTAACCAACCCACATGAGAATTCTTTTTTGTACTGCTCTCCCCACTCCCTCATGTACATTTGATCACAACAATAAATGGTATGTGAGAATGATATATAATCAACTAGCTTAGCCTACCAACTAATTGCACAAATGATAGACTTTGTGAGCAGGAAAAAGCACCCAAATGGAGTGTTGTGGCTTATTATTTGATCAGAGATTCATTTGCATTTTATCACAACAAGAATTCTCAAATGAGTTTTGAGACAGAGAAAGAGAGATTGATGAGGATTAAGGGATAATTTGATAGTGTGGAAAGGGATGACATTCTAGTCTGGTTGAGGCTATACTAAATGTATGGACTCTAACAAACAGCCTAAACATGATATTTAATTTGAGGTGCAATTTCGGTTTCGATGCAGTTTTCAAAAGCCAAAACCAAAACCAAACCGTTACCTACTATGCGGTTCAGTTTCAAAACCGCAACCGTTTTAAAACTGCAAAACTAAACCGTTCAGTACTGTCTGATTTGGTTTGTGTTTCGGTTTTGATTTTCAGTTTCAAGTGCCCCCTAGTTCTAATTGGCTTGCAATTTCGTCCTTTGTGCACCTCATCGTCATGTTAGCATCCTAGTGTAAAAATTCACATGTAGGATGATGATTAATAGTAAAATGCCAAAAGCACAATAATTCCCCCATCTTAAAGACAATTACAATCAAGATCAAGAGGCAGAAACACAATTAATCAAGAGTGCATTGCCTTTGCCCCTGTTAAGTCTAGTTTTGAAAAGTCAATATGTCGAGTTTTTTTGTTCAACCGTGCAAGTGGGTAGGAGTGGGTTCAGTTTTAGTTGGTTCGTTTTTTTTTTCGGTTTTTGATTTTTGAACCTTCCTCTATAAGTGTGTCAAAATTTTGAAAGGTGGTGTTGTCACATAGTCTTTTCACATGTAATAAGGCTATTAGCTTTACCTATGTATGCATAGGCAAACTTTTATAACACCTATGTGGACAATATCAGCCATTAGAAACAGATTTTGCAGCCACATAAATTTGAACTTTATTCATTTATTTTCTACATGCAACGAAATGTCTTTCTTTTGCCCCTTTCTCATGTTCCTTCACATTCTTTCTTTGGTAAAATTGATAAATGTCACCCACAATCTATGACACGGTATGGGTGCGGAATTTTTAAGTCACGGGACTGAAAACCAAATTACAAAAGAGAATACCACAAAATGAGAAAATTCTTCAATAGTACGTAATGATGAATAGTAAAGAATAAATGGACAAGATTGAAAATAGACTATTCAATACTTGTGGAAATCTTTATACTATTCATCTCAAACACGCTACAATCAAAGATGGGGCTACAAGTAGCTATCAGAGGCAATACAACAGGTGACTAAAACATAGCCATATCTTTATACATGCATTAAAGTTTCCACTATCCAAGTGGGAATGTATTGATTTCATGACTTAATAATTTAAAGTCTTGGTCCTTGGAATTATTTGTTCAGAACATACAATATTTGTTGATTTGTACTGCATGCATAAAGTTGGATAAAATCTAATACTCAGGATTTATTATTCGTTTTAAATGTTGTTTGCCTTAGCCCTTTGGCATGTGTGCGATTTACTTGTAGTACATGCATAAAGTTGGACAAAATTTGTAAGGTCGTTTAGTCAATCAGCTGTAGCAAATGAATAGACATTTTATAATACTTTTAGTCGTTTGTTTTTATATAGTTGAATGACTACATGATTTCTTATTTTATTAATTTGGTTGGATATGATCTTTACAAAGTATTTGAACGGTTTCGATCATTAATATGAAAATTCTTGAATTGAAAACTAAGTATCTTGAGGAAGAACTCCCTCATCCACTGAGTCATGAACGAAGTTAATTCATAATGTTAAATCTTCACTTATAAGTGAAAAAAAAATACTATTAGAATTTTAAAAGTTGCTATCTAGAGGCCACTGCGTTAAAAATAGGTAGAATGTTTTTTTTTTTTACCAATCACGTTTTTGTTGTTTAACTTTAAATTGAAACAGTTTTTGTGAAAAAATCAATACCAAATGAGACCTTAGTGTTACAAGTTTACACGAAGGGTGGAGATAATAAATTTGTTATATACACCTTTTTCTTAATACTTTTTCTTTAATACTTTTTGAATTCCTTGCTATATTCACATAAAGGAGTGAGGTGAATAAATTGGTTACAAACTCATAATTTACGATTTGAACCTAAAACCTTTTTTTTATTAAAAATAAAGAAAAATGTTATCAAACTATAATATTAAATATCGCATAAAATTTTAATAAAATCACTAACTGACAATCGAAATCATACTTATATTAGATATGTAAGTATTATAGCAAACACTAAGTTCGCAATACTTTCACACACCCACTGATTCCCTTCAACTTGAGAAGGGCTGCTTCTGCTCATAGTAACGTGTTTGAGACGTCCAGAAATATAGGTGGCCAAGTCGGAGCCACACATTCAATATTCCTAAAATGCAAAGCGGAAAAAAGGACGACGACCTAGAGAGTCCTAGTATTTTGCTAGATCGAGACGTGTGAGAAATATGCGCTGCGCGATAAAGTTAAATTCCACCGTTCGTTACGATTCAAAGGCTGATATTAGAAGAAAATAATCACCGACTGGAAATGAGGACATGTGTCTCTAACAAAACACACACAAAAAATAAAACCCATAAATTTGTTTTTGTTATGAATAATGATAGAGAGAATAAAACTTTAAATTAAATGACATGTCACAAGTTGAAAATAAACACGTTAATCAAAACTTAACTAAGAATCCAATCATTAACAATCATGTCATTTGGTATTATCAAGTGATTTGTGGTTTGTGTTAACCCAAAATGAGATTCATTTTTTCTCCAAATTCCATTTTCACCTCAAACTAAGAAATCCAAAAAGGGTAAAAATTAGAAAGAATGCTTTTAATATAACATTTGCGAAAGGCAATCATGCTCGTATAGATCCTACCTTTCCCACAGAACGATCCCTATGCTGCAACAGCAAACAATGCCCTGGCAATTCATTGGCTTCAATCCAAATTCTTATTTCTCAATCTGCAAGAGAAATACAATATCCAGCAGGTTAAGCGTATTTTTCATTTCCACATCATAACAACTCTGTAATGGTCTCATTCTCATGGTTAAACACAGTCATGTTCAACTACAAAGAAACATTAAGGAACAAAAAAAAAACTGAAGAAATTGAAACTTGCCAACGTTATTTGATGTTAACTTGGAGATGCCTCACTTGGTACATCATTACCCTCTTATTTGATGTCAACTAAAACTAATTTCGCAAATATTCAAGATGATCCCAATGTTATTAAATTACTAACCTTATTTTTCATAAAAAGATGCACCAATTCCGTCAATGCTCAGACCTATTAGTCAAATTGTGCACCTTTTCATCCCTTTGGTGATTACACCATTTCTGTTGTGAAAATACTTCAAGCTTTGTAGGAGGAACACCACCTCCAACTCCTCTTGCACGACCATTTTGCTCGGCACCAAAAACTTCGGAAAGAGCGTCACTTCGAAAACCAGATAGATGATGATCCATTTTCATGTTGCATAATATTTTCCTAATGTTGCACATCAAAGTTAAGATCTCATCAGCCATTGTTATATCAATAAACAAGAAGAAATAAATGATTAATGTATTACTTACAATAGTCTCTGCAGCAAGCAAATTGGATGGTCCACCACCCTTCCTAGTATGTGCTGCAATCCAAAGCATCAAAGCATTTTCCTAAAAAGATGCATCAAAGCATTCTCCGTCTTTTGATGTGTTACACTATTATTTGCATACTTGTATTTGACATGTTTTCACTGCTTTTGTTTCCGTTAAATATGGATTATACTTTTTTAGTTGCCTTAGCCTTTGACATGAATCTTTCATGTGTTGCTTCCTCAAAAGTAGAAAATAGTACACAAAATGTCGACATTGAGACACGAATAATGTCAAAGAAAACATTTCATTTCTAACCAGCCCTCTAAACAAGCTAGAAAACATCACAGCATATTACAAAGGTAAAAAGATGCATTAAAGCATTCTCCGTCATTTGATCAACTCCACCATTACGTAAACCCAATCGATCTTTTACACCATTTGAGAACTTGAAGTATGCATATCTCCATGACCTATTGAATATCAACGTGCCACAGACGTCCCAAAATCCAACAACAAACCCAATCCCCATACTGATTTAAAATTCCTCTTTATGCATCCAATGCAGGAATTGCAGTACGGCCTTGTTCCTTAGAGTCAAATTAAGACCAAGAACCACAATTACTTGGGAAAGCAAAATAATTCCACTTTATCAAGCACATCAGGTACCAAGACAATCTCCTATACGGTCTTTATATTTGAGAATTTTTTTGAAGTATCCGGCGAGTTCCAATATATTGAGATACTTTGAGAAACTCTATTCCCGTCTATTAGAAGCTATTTGTCCTTATATTTAGGTGATGGGTAATGCTAAGGAAACCAAAATTTTTAAACCAAATGATGTGGTTGTAGATGATTGTATTATTACTTAAGCGTTGATTAACGTGCTTATTTCCTATTGATAAAACATCATTTGAAACTCAATATAGCACATGTATTGGGTGGCCAACAATAAAACTATCAGAAACCGAGTTTCAAGGATGAAACTCAATATAGCACATGTATTAAAGTCCGATGTCATTACCACCGCAATAATAAACCACTCATGTTGTGATTAACAAATCAAGTCAGCTTTATCATAAAAATTAGGGGTGGGTTCAGTTTTTTACCAAAACTGAAACCGAACTGAAACTTTGGTTTGGTTCGGTTTGATTCAATTTTCTTTCGATTTTTCGGTTTTGGTTTCGTTTTTATTTTATTTTATAAAACTTTATCTTTTTTTTTTAAATGGAATTTAGAAAAGAGGCTTGCATTGGTAGACTAATAATAAGAAAATGGAGAAAGTGGAAAGTGGGAAGGTAGTTGTATGCATACAAGATCATATAAACCAATCATATTTTATCAACAACCTCAATTGCAAAGAAAAATGATCACTGTATCCATTAAAAAAGCTACAAATAGAGAAGCTCTTCAAAAATCAACAACCTCAAATACTCCCAGTTTGAACAAAGTATGCTCCTTGAAAAAGCCCTATGTTAGTTTCAAACTTGGCAACAAAGTTTCACAAGAAACCATAGGCATACATTCATAAAGTTTAAAAGGATTTGGTTCGGTTCGATTTTTGAACCTCCAAAACCAAAACCAAACCAATAAGGTTCGGTTTGATTTTTTCTTTTTCAGTTCGTTTTTTTTTATGGTTTTCAAATTTTTGAACCCACACCTAATACAAATCAAAGGATAACTGTATGTCATTGTGTGAAAGAACAAAATGAAAACAAAATCTTGATGAGCTTACATTCTTGAATTTCTTCGGATGACTTACACGTTCAAAAGTTAGAAGTTCGGAGAACTTTCAAGATGACCAAAAAAAAAAAAGTTACACCCTCCACGCTATAGGACACAAAAGAAGTAGTTCAAAATAGTAGGATTTAGGGAAAGTACTTTAGAGTGATTACATCCACAACCCTAATAGACCAACAATCCAAGAACCAACATTTATGAAAATTTCAGATTAAAATTTGTATTTTTTTTATATTTAAACTCCATTCCAACTGTACTCTAGACTGATTGGGCATGTCTAAGGTGCGGACAAAGGGTGCGTACCATCCGTGCGAACAATGATCTGATGGTTGAGAAGGGACAAGCTTACGAGTAGAACCGGGTTGTTGTGGCCCGGTGCAATAAAAAAATTTAAAATTTTCATTGAGTTGGTATCTTTTGTATGTGGAAGGGAAACATGGAGCAAAAGGGCCTGAAAAGAGGGGTTCTTGCTCCAATAGAAGAGGGAAAGAGAGCGAGTTGGAGTTTGGAATGGATTTTAGGTGGATTAAAACTGAGTTACGGTTGTGACCATGTAATCCTATAACTTTAATTTATTTTTTTGTTCATTTGGTTTGTTTTTCAACGGCAAGAGAAGGAGAGAATAGGATTGTCTCCGACAGGAATTGAAAACCCCATTCCAATTTGTACTCTAGTCGAAACAACTTGCGGTTGTTGATTACGGGCCTTCTTCTGTGGCCCAAATAAATGTGTAGTTTCTCGGCCCTTGAAAACTTAATTCTCTTTTTCGGCCGTACGTGATTTCTTGAGTCCCAATATTACTACAACCTTCAAGGTTCTGGTTCTTTAACTCACGAGAGTTCTGAGGCTATTTCAAAGGCTTCCATCTTCATTCGCTCATCGAGAGAGAGGGAGTTTTGGATTGGCTCAAGACGCAGACAGCGAAAGAACCCGTTGTTAATTTGGTTCAATAGGGAAGCTTTCAATTTCGGGGTTTTGGGTTTTTGGAGTCTAGGTCGTGCTGTTTCTGTCGATTTCAGCTTCGCCAAGCTGCCTCAGGTGCAAGCATTTGATCTCCGAAGTCCCGGCGTTGCAGATGATTGGCATCCAAAGAGAGAATATAATTTTGGATACAGAAATTGACCAATTAATCAGGTACTTATAAGGAGGCCAATTCGACCACCGATTTCTGGAAAAAGTACATTTTGATTCTGGTTATTGATGAATTTTTTTATTTTATTTTTCTGTTCAGTTTGGAGATGAGAATGTGGAGTTGTTTTCTATGGCGGTTATGAGTTTGACGATTTTGGGGCTAGTTGGGGCTAGTTTCGTTGTTAAGTTGAGTTAGGAGGATGGCGGTCTTGAAAATTAAAAAGGGTTAGTGCTATTGTAATGGCACTTGCATTTGTTTTGAACCTACAAAATATTTGGCCGTTTTCGGTACTGAAATCCGACGACCTGAGAGTATCGAATCAGTTTGTTTGTTTGTATCTTTAAGAGCGTTTTGATGACTAGGATTCTGATTAAGTTTTGACAGTTTCTTTTCGAACTTGCCTTCTTACACTCACAATTTCCATCCCACTCCTGTCCAACCCTCACTCGTCATTGTTGTCAATGCTCGCAAACCTAGTACTCACTTCTCTCTCACACGTTTTGGTACTTAGCTTTGATTGCAAATTATATATATATTGTACACTATAACATATATTAACAATTGTAAAGAAATTCTGGACCTTTAATTTGGAAAAACCAATTGTAAGAGTTGGTCTTTGTGTCCCAAACTGAAAGTGGGATAAACTTAGAGGGAGTTTGAAAAAGCGTCCAATCCGTCAAAGAAATAGTGGCTTTTAGTCTAACGTTGATTGGGATCTCAGAGAGATTGTAATGGATTCTAATGGCATCAGTCAAAATTTCTAATACAAGGTGAGCTTACACTGCCTTTGGATCTGTTTTTTGTGCCTGTTTCTCTTTGCTTTAGTGCTTTTTGCTCTTTTATGGGAGATTCATATGGAGCCTATTAAGGTTATCGTTTCTGTATAAATATATTTCTCAATTCTTATATGGTGTCTGGTGGTTGTTAGGGAAGCAGGTGCAGTTCACGTACAAGCAAAGGTGGAGGCTGTGTATATGTAGGGATACTGTCCCAAGAAAAGGTAAGTTTGCGATTTTTCGTCTCGAGTAGAACAAATCCATGTAAACGGTGTAATTTTCTGCCTATATTTTAATTTGAGTTAATATGGTGCTTAACTAACAACGTGTCGATAAGTTCAAGTAAAATCACTTTCATTGGGTTCATTCATCTTTATGAGCAACTTTTTTGCACAAGTGATATTGGAGAGTGGGGAATCGAACTCAGGACTTTGGGTGTTAGAATTTCGTTTCAGTTTCTGTTTTTAACTTTTTACATGTAGCGCATTGTTGAAGATGGACATTATTCTCATGCGTTCATGGATTCGAATCTCTACATTTTGTGCCCAAAAGATTCATATCTTCACCAACTTCACAAAGATGCTAAATCATGATTTGTATCAAAACATTCTGTATTTTCTTTTATTTTTATGGTAATTTTAAGGATAAATCGAGATTAAATACGAAATCGTATCCGGGCATAACTTATTAATTTTGTATAGAAACGGTGCCGTAAAGCTAGCTAATGATTTTATTGTTACTTAGTTTAATAATCCTCGACTCCTGGGATGTTTTTAATAGATTAATGGTAGATTGGTTGTCTATAAATAATAAGCAAATAAATAAAAACAAACACCGTTACCATCACAGGGAGAGCCTTTTCTCCTCTTGTTCTATATGGATTTTTGAGCTATTTTTTCAACTATTACATTCTTTTTCTCTTTTTTTTTTTTTGCGATTTGGGTTTTGTTTAGAATTCAGTTCTATGGTTTGTAAGGCAAAAAGGTTGGATCTTGTGGGGATTTTGATCTGATCAAGAAAGGGAAGAAAAAGACGTAGAGTGAAAGAAACCCAGAAAAAAAGGGTTGAGCATTGGAGAAGCAGCTGAAAGGTTTTACAGCTTCATTTTTTTATTTTTTATTTTTTTCTGGGCCAACTGAAAAAGTGCTTATTCGGTTTTTGGTGCTTATTGATTTTCTGGCCAGCTGTGAATCTTTTGCTTTACTGGGTTTTGGTGATTTCAGCTTCCCCAAGTTGGTTGAGGTACTAGAAGAACTTTTAAAGTTGTTTCTGGTTCATTGCATTATTATCTAGTACTAGTTTATTGGATGGAGAGAAAATGCTAATGGCCGATGTAATCATAATGTTTTCATGATAAGTTTATAGTCGAGTTTATTTCTTGGTATTGTGATTATAAGGAAATGGGATTCAGTAGATAATTTCTACTTTGATAAATTATCAGGAGGTTTTGAAGTTTAGTTGGGGTGGTTTTGTTTAGAGGCAGAGATTGAAAAGGGGATTTGCAGTTCAAGTTGATACGTGTAATGTGAGTGACATTGAGATGGGGGTTCAATGCTCCAAACTCATACCATGTTGCTTGAATTCACATACGAAGGCAGCGGTTCTCGAAGCTCCTGACATTGGTGGGTTAATATCTATGTTTCTTTTGTTTTTGCGTTTTATGTTTTGATGGAGAAACAGATCATATCTGATGCTTGTGGATGGTTTACCTGTAATACAGATGATGAGGAGAAGAGCAAGGTTGACAACTTGCCTGCATTTTGTGAATTCACGTTTGAGCAACTTAAAAATGCGACATCTGGTTTTGCTGTCGAGTACACTGTGTCTGAGCAAGTAGAGAAGGCTCCAAATGTTGATTATAAAGGGAAACTCGAAAATCAGAAGAGAATTGCTGTTAAGGCAATTTTTGGTAGGCATCCTTTAACTTGGTACTTTTCTATCTCAGAATGATATAATTCAGATACTTTGGTGACGAAAACTGGTCTGCATTTTGTAAGGCTTGCATCACATCTTTTCTATTGTAAGGCGTACTCATACTAATACGAGGTTTTTGGTTACTGATCTATGTTGTACTCATTTTTAATGGTTGGATACTGGATCCATTTAGTGTTGCAATTGCCTCTGCTTAATAGTTTCACTTTGTCTCACTGATGATTTAAGTTTGGGTTTTTCATGCGGAAGGGATATATTGGCATATTAAGCATCACATTTATTTAATAAATGAGGGCTACGTTATGTTAGAACTTGTGGATGCGCTTTATCACGACCTCAATGCTTACAGAATTTTATTCAATGAGGTAACTATATTTTGAGTCCATCTGTTTGATAACCTTTCCTAGTATATTCTGATTGTATTCGTTTATTTTATTTATTATAACTTTTCAGGATGGCAATCCCGGAATATCCGCCTCTGCCTGATTGAAAAAAGTACGGATGGGAAGAGTTATAGTACAAATCTGGCATTTACTCCTCCTGAATATATTAGGACTGGTGGGTAGATCGTGGAAAAAAACGGTGTTCTTTTTGCTCCAAATAACTCATTCAAATTTATGATTTACTTGACAAACATCCTTTAAGTATGCTGTTCAGCAATTATTATACACCGCAGATCCCTTGTTTTGCAGGGAGAGTAACACAAGAATGTGCAATATATAGATTTGGACTCTCTTGATTGATCTTCTCAGCGGAAAGCGTATCCCCTCTAGCCATGTAAGTTACTCTTTTACCTACGATAAAATATAGTTTAAATTCAATTGTTATGAACTCTGCGTGAGGATTTATCCTTCTTAGGATATGTAAACACAAGTAAGTAAATTTATTCATCTGGTGGTTGATCATTTTGTCCCATGCCCGAGACCTGATTCGAGACAGAAATCTTCAGATGCTGACAGATTCTTGCTTGGAAGGACAGCTTTCTAATGATGATGGTACTGAGTTGGCACACTTGGCTTCACTATGTTTACAATCTGAACCCCGAGAGCTACCAAATCCAAAGTCATTAGTTGCTTCTTTGACTCCTCTTCAGGAAGAAATTGAGGTTGGTTCTGTCTCCTTTGTTTCTCTTATTAAGCATTCTATTCCCAACTTTACTCGGGGAGCATAGTTTGACTGCTTAAAATCTTCACACAATTGTTTGTAGATCTATAGTTTAGGGCAGTCTTGTAAGCAATATAGTCATACGTTATCTTCTTTTCACTGGACACAATCTCAGCTATTTGTGTAAGTTCGTATCCACTGATTTTTTATTTGTTGTAATACTGAACCTTGTACCAAGCGGAAATTATTTGAAAATTTGGGAAAGGGGCATGACACTAATTTGTTATTAGTGAGGACTTGAGAGAGCTACACTTTTGTTTAGTGCCTTTCATGGTGAATGATACTCTATAAAATATGAATCTCTATGCCCTGAAACTGTGGGTCCTTAACTACAAGGGTTTTCATTGATACCGTACTTGTTGGGTGCCAATTAGAAACAATCAGATCTGCACCATCGTAGTAGTAAGTAGTTTAATCAAATATAGATGCTTAACTTGATGCTGGTAGCTATATCCGGTTCCTTCTTTTGTTTTGATGGGTATCCCACACAGTACCTCCTGGTCTTCTCTTTCACCACTCGGTGAAGCCTGCTCAAGAAGGGATTTGACTGCTATACATGATATCCTAGAGAATATCGACTACAAAGACGATGGAATGACAAATGAGGTTCTATATTTGTTTAACTAATGGAGAAATATCTAATAAGTTGTGTTGTATACATATTTAGCCTTCCCAATAGTTACGTTCCACTGCAGCTCTTTTCCAAATGTGGACTGACCAAACGCAGGAACCATTAGAATCAAAGAAAAAGGGGGATTCTTCTTTTAAGCACAAGGACTTGAGAACCGCAATTGAGCAATTCACAGGTTAGGTTCTTATTATGATACTTGTGGGAAATTCTGAGTAGAGCTGGATAATAGTTACTTTCATGTCCATACCGATATCCGAATTTGGCCTTCAATAGGATGTTCCTTAACTAACCTGTTAAATTAAATTACTAAACACAGCTTCGTACGAAATTTTGTTTGGTTTAGATTTCCGGCCAGAATATGATTGTTACATCTTATCTTCTAATTCTTGATAGTAAGAAAAAAGATTGGTAGTTTAAGGTACCTTAGAGTATCTGAACCTAGTAACTCCACTTCCATGACCGATAAAAAGAACAAAACTGAAAGAAAAAACAAAAAAGGTAAATCCTTAATTGCTGCTTTCTCTGCATTTGTTATCGTTGCCGACAGTCTTATTTCGCTTGCAGTGTGTATTGTATTTGAATTGTTTTATTTGATTTGATTTCTTGTGCGTCATATGATTCGAATATATGAATTACTTTGACAAAATGGAAAGAAAAAATAGAAAGTTGTAAAAAACAGTGGTAGGGAGGATGTCGTTCAGAAGCTTGTAATTTATGTACAGAAAGCATATAGGATTCCTAGTGTTTTATTTCTGATGAAGAAAATAATAATTAGTTCGTCAAACATCGTCTGACCGTTGTTAGACATAGATATATTACTACTTGGCTATAAAAAAATAAAATAAAAAGGTTAACCCTACTGCAACCAATCCATTGAACTAAAATTTACGACGAATAAAACAATCATATGCAGTCCAAAATTAACTGAATTTCTTCAGTATATATAAACTTCTTACGAAGACCAAAGCAATCATATGCCGTCCAAATTAACTGAATCCATTGTCCTCTTGTTCAGACTCTCGGCTGCTGTTCTTGACGACAAAGACTGCGGCTTCTGGCTGGGCAGAGTTCTTCCCACTTGAAACTTCTGCTTATCGCTCATGTCGAAGAACCGATGAGTATGCCTTGTTCACCGTGGGTAATGGCTCCAGAAGGAGAATGTTGCTACCGACAGTAGTGTAAGAGTCATTCAAACCCATGAGAAGCTTCATTGTTTTCTGAGTTTCCACATATGAAGCGATCACCTTCTTTGTTTAGCAGCGGCATGCCAGGATTGAGCATCGTACGTCTCGTTCATCCCAAAGGCTTTTAAGCTTTGTTAAGTAAGGTTAATCATCCGCTGCATCATCTGTGATTCATGTTTGTTTCTCTCGACCTAAAACCATAACCTTGCTTCTCCAATTCTCTCTCGCACTGGAATTAAATCTCATATATAATATTAGTTTTATCTTTTGATTCACAGGTTCAATGAACACTTTTGTCAATGTAAATGAATCAATATTTCCTACTATTTTTTTGCATGTAAATACTCCAAAATTATGTAAAAGTGTACCAAACGTTTTCAATGCAAATAGTAATATCTTCTGTAACATAATCTTTTATATCTTACAAACATAATCAATTTACAATAACATCTTTCTTAACAATATTCACAGAAAAAAACAGTTGCTTGAATTAAAGTTCCAATGAATTAAAGTGTCCCAATGAATTAAAGTTCTTACAAACGAGGCACGGTATCAAATCATTTGCCAAGGAAAACATATCCCTTGTACATTTCTGCAATCTCGGTATAACTGGAATGAAGCAGCATCTAACACTTGATAGCTTATGCAGGTATAGAAGCCACGCAGTTGAACTGAAGTGAAGAAGATGCCTGGAGCTACTGATAAAAATAAACAAGCACCGGTAAGTTCGAAGAAGACAATTGATCATAAAAACCAAATTAATCGTGATGAATCAATGAGAGAAAGATCACATACCGCAAATTACAGCTTATCTATTAAGCATCCGTTAATTTCCGCTTGATCAACACTACCCTCACATAAAGCCAATCATTCAGCGAATTCAAGAACTTGAAGTATATGTACCTCCATCCCCTTATGAATATCAGACTTCCACAAACTCCCCAAAATCCAACAAAAAACCCGAGCCCCATGCTGATATAAAATCCGTAGCGTGTAAGCTGATCATCCTTGTGTACTTCGTTACTAACTTGATCTGGACCCATTTCTTTGATATCACACAGATTTTGAAGTGGAGGTCCACAGAGCTGTGGATTTCCAGCATAAACAGAGGGATCAAAACTTTGGAGCTGGGTGCCAGTTGGAATCTTTCCAACCAAGTTGTTGTGTGACAAGTCCAAGACACCAAGACGACTTATCCGAGCAAGGCTTGTTGGAATTCTTCCGTCTATATGATTTCTCGACAAATCGAGTGAATCCAAGGACTCCAATTTTCCAATGTCTGGAGTAATTTGACCTGTAAGTTGGTTTCTAGAAAGGTTTAAAGAAACCAAGCCAACAAGACGACTGATTTCGCTCGGAATCTCCCCAGTCAATCTATTGCTTGAGAAATCAATACTTCTCACAAGCCCCAAAGTATTCCTGTAAACCCGCATGCTTCCTTTCCATATGAAGATTTCATCGTCCTCGTAAAGATCCTCCCAGGATGATGGTTGATCAGCAATTCTCGAGTAAGCATGTTGGACGGTTAGAAATGAATTTCCTTTCTGAGCCAGAGTGGTCAACTTTTTTAGGCAATTCGGTATTCCTCCAGATATGTTGTTCACAGAGACATCCAAAATTTGAATGTATATTAGATCACATAGTTGCGAGGGCAAGCTTCCATTGAAGTGATTAGAGGAAAGCATTAGGATAACCAAGTTCCGAAAGCTAGCCCACAGCCATTTAGGTATTGATCCCGACAACTGGTTATCTGCAAGATCAAGGACCATTAAACTCCTGCAATTCTTCAAGGATAAAGCCAACTCTCCCACAAACTCATTGCTTCTTAATTCAAATGTTTCGATCCCAAACAAGGAGTCTATCGTGGTAGGAATTTTTCCTGAAAGAGCATTGGAACTCAAATCAAGCATCACGAGATTGCTATGTGTCAAGCATTCTGGAAGTTGTCCAGAGATATTGTTGTATGAGAGATTAAGAAAACGTAAACGCATAGCTGCATTTGCACACAAGAAAGAAATCGACCCTGAAATGTTATTATTAGAGAGATCCAAATATGATGCTTGCGATAGAGTTGCGGGAATTTGATGTCTTTTTCAGAGACTTCCTCCTCATCGACCTCTTCAACTGCAACATGGTATACGCCTTGGACCATCTCTTCTTTGTCATCCCCTTCGGCTCGTTGGTTCGAGAATTGACCAGAGCATATGGTTGTGCATCGGTTCACCTTCAACTCACTGTTCGAACTCCGTCCAATGTGGACTGGCATTTCGTGGGCGAAGGGATTAGACTTCGAATCTCATCATACCTGGCTAGGTCGACGTGTCTTTCTTTTTTCTGAAATCGGCTTTCTTTTCCTAGAAGGTTTTCGAGTGTGGTGTAGGCCCCATGAATGAGCTGCACCAGTTCAGTGGTGAGAAAAGCTAATGTGGAGCATTATCACGTGGGTGAGATTTGTTTCCCACTCAAAATAACCGTTGGGACTCACTCTTTGAGTCCCGATCCTCAAATTTGAGGATTTCTTTAAGATATTTGGTGAGTCCCTATATGTTAGGATAATTTGATGACCTCTATTTCGGTACATTAAAACTCCATCTAAGATCCCTACTGGAAAGGCTCACAATACAATAATTCCACTAGACATCATGATTAATAAAATGAGACTTTTTGATGCACTACCAAACTACTTTGCTTTTATTCACCAACGTATTAAAATCCTAGTGTATTGTAATTTTATCAAAACCACAAATTTCAAAAATGTAATTAAGTGAACCACTGAATGGGAGGCACTCAGTGGAATGTTAAGGTCAAAAAGATCAATATTATTGAACAAGTGCTTATAGCAAAATCATACTTTTCATGTCCATTATAGGGCTTGAGTTTGGGGCTATACCTAGCTTTTCTGATTCAAACACAAATCCAATTACTCATGTTGGGTGTGAAGTAGGGCTGCCATTTTGAGTTATTAACAATATTGTTGTGGGCTTTTGGGCCTGTCTTCACACAAAAATAAAAAACATCTTTGTTTGGGCTACTTTTTGGGATTTAAATTTTTGAAATTTTTTGGTTTAGGGAGGATAACGTTATTGTGTTGGCGTCCCGATGCTAAATCAATTGTTGTGGATCTTGAAGGTGCAACAGTTTCTTTGCATGATGTTGAAGTGAGTAAAGTGCTGATCCACCGACGGGGTTTGAGCCGTCATGTGAGGGCTTAATACATTTTTACTATTGTGGTAAAAGGTCGCTTGCAATAAAGTGGGTGTTGATTTTGTGAGTAAAATGTTGATTTTTCAATTAACACAAACTATTGGTACTAATTGGTCAGTAAAGTTCCAAACTTGTCACTATGAATTGACAACATGCGTAAATTGGCAATATTGTTATGCAAACGATTAGCACGCATACACGGAAATACAGTTAAAGCTTATCATATGAATGTGGACTTGTGATTTTCTACATTTATGCTTTCTAATTTTTTTTTTTTTTTTTTAAATTTCTTTGATGCAAAGCAGAATGGTAAGCTGTTGAGAAGCTTAAAATCGCATTCCGTTGCTGTTGTTTCACTTAACTGGGAGGGGGATGGACACATGACTAGAGTATGTTGTTGGAGTTTTGAGACCTTCAGTGTCCCACATCGGGGAACTCAATGTTCCCAATTGCCTTTATATATCTTTAGTCCCTTACACTAGTATTTAGGATTTGGACCATTTGGTAATGAATTGAAGGTTGAGGCCTTATGATTGTGTGGATTAGGCTTATATAATATAGCCTAAATACAATTAATATTAATTAATTAAGACCAAGACCTTGGGGCACTTAGGGCTTTGGAAGTTAAAATTAATCAGATTCATTAATTTTAATTTCGGATTAAGTTTTTAATTAATTTATTAATTAAAAACGTTTTGATTAAGAGACACAGCTCTTAGAAAGAGTTGTGTACTTTCAAATACGCTGAACATGTATTTGAAAGGGTTTAAAACAACCTATATATTTGCAATCCCAGTTTCCAAGTAAGATCATCCTTTCTTCATTCTTCTCTTTTGAACAAACTTTTCAGAGAGTAAACACACAAAGCAATTCGCTAGAATTCTATAATCCATTGTGGGTTATAGAGTTAGGTAGTTGTATCCTGGTTGAGCAGATGTTATAGAACCACAAGCACAAGAGTGGGACGGAAATTCGGTTCGAAGGATATAACTTTTGCGCTAGCCTCTACCTTTGATTCATTCAAGTTAGTATCGTTTTAGTTTCTGTATTTATTGTGTAATTTCATTCTGTATTGCATGTATTTTTGAATAATAAAATATAAGTATTCAAGTTCTGTATTTCTGTTATTTCAATTTCTAAATTGTTCTCCAACATATGTTTCATCCATCTAATTGCCGGCCATGCACCATTTTGAGTTTAATGGACGAAATCAGTTGGTTTTTCTTTACTTGAGCTTTTTTTGGGCACCTTTGCTAGTCTAATCTAAACCATGGAAGATACTTCTCAAACAACCCGTCTAATTTGAACTATGAACCAAATTCAATCAATTATTTTCAGCAATATCAGAAGCATATGCATAAAATATGTATACAGTATGCACAAATTCAACCATTTCATGAACCAAACTCAAACATGCCCAACATCTATATGCACAGATTATGCAAATAATATGTACCAATTCATGAACCAAATTCAACCAAGTATGTCCAACATCCACACATGCACGGAATATGCACACAATAATACCAATTGCTGAACCTTTTTCAATTAATTAATTAATTAATTTCCAGCAACATCAAAGCACATGCACAAAATATGTACATATTATGCACAAATGAATATCGAACAAACCATGAACAAAATTAACTTCAAAATACATGCATTTACACAACCCAAACCATAATCCATTAATTTTCCCCGAATTAACAGTACAAAACACTAAATCGCACTCAAAACCCTAAATTCTCAAATTGGGAAAACCTAAGGTCAAATAATGAAATTTCAATTCAAATCGTACCTGTTTTTTTTTTTAATTTTGTCATTGCAGTTGTTTGAATCGATGGATAACAAACTCGCCTTGGCTACAAAACTTAGACAAGGGATTGGAAAGTTGGAGACAGTTGAAAAGTTGTGCTATTTGGGGGCTGTGATTCTTCAAGTAGGGGGTTGAGCGAGAGAGATTTTTAGAGAAGGTGTATATGTTGACTGAGTTGAACGAAATAACCCATTTATATGGAAGGGGAATTTGGCCTTTTCAAGTTTCAAAAAATCTTATTTCTGTTATATTCTTGTGCATGCCGTGTGCATATCCTATGCATAGTTAAAAAAATCCTATTTTTTATCACAAAATTAAGAAAATTTATCCTTTTTGTTAATTTCCCTATATTATATTTTGAAAACTTTTATATTTTCATCTAGTAAATTCTAAAATGAAAAAAACCCCATTTTGCTTCCAATTGCATCTTTAGCTTTCTTCCCCTCCCAATAATGAAAAGCCCTCACTTTTTCTAAAAAGTAATGGGAAACTAAATTTGAAAATTAAATTTACTAATTAAATGATGTGTCATTAATAAAAATTAGCACGTTTACTAAATAAGAAACTAATAATCAATTTTCATGTCTTTTAATTATGAATTTTGTTTTTAACTTTTAAGACCAACTTCAATGGTGGGCTAAAAGCCAAATTACCCCCCTAAAATTCCCCCCCAAACTCACTCCAACCCAAAGGGAAATTTTGGGTTAAATGCTAAATGCTAAACCAACACCAAATTCCCCCCAAAATTTAGCTCATAAATCGGAGTGGACTCCACCTAATATTTATCGGAATTTAAATTTTTTTAGATTAAAATATTCATAAAATTAATTTATGATAGTCTACATATTTATTTTTTTTTAAAAAGTTTAATTTAACAAAAAAAAAGCCTAAGTTCATTTTTTAATAATCCCGGGCCAAAATTTTAGGCTAAAACAGTTAGAGCAGAAAAGTTGTTTCTGGGCTAAAAGCTAAATTTTCCAAGCTAAAAAATTTGGTTTTTAGCCCAACTATCAGATATGGTCTAAGTAAAAAACTAATAATCAATTTCTATATTATTAGTCCATAATATCGTTTAAAAAAAAAAAAAAAAAAACCATTTTCACTCCAGAGAATCAAAGCGAAAGCAAAACCATCACGACCCTATTTTCTCTTGACTGCTAATTATGGCTCCGAGCCCAACGCTCTCGACCCTGTAAGTTCCTTTTTCTTCCTGATCTTCAGAATTCCAACTTTGATCTTGTTACGAAAAGGGTAGCGAGAAAATGAAAACTTATTCTCTTGTTTCACAGTTTAATTTCTCAGGTCTGCAATTTGAGCTCATAAATTTTGGGGTCTTTCCATTTCGCGTTCGATTTACAATTGTTAGTTGTAGAATGAATGTGGGTTGTGCAACTGGGCTTGTTGGGTATATTTTGTTTTCGCTTTTCGTCGATTTTGTTCAGGTCTTTTTAGCAAATTGATAATGTGAGTGAGATTTTGGGTAGTTTTCTCTGCTTGTGTAGTTACCACTCTGTAATTACAAATTTTTTGGTATTTGATTGCTCAAGACACCCAATGCGATCTTTCTATCATTTAGCTTTGATTGTTTACGACCACGACAAAGTTGCGATTGTAAAAAGCTGGAGAAAAAATGCTCTTGTACTGCTATGCTGTGTAGATTATTGAGCACTTCCTTTTTTTCTCCTTGAATGTAGAGTGGAGCATTTTTAATCAGTTAGGAATGATGTGTTTTGCGAAAATTGGTAGTTTAAGGTTCCTTTGAGTACCTAAACCTAGTAACTCTAATTGCTTGCATGACCAATAAAAAGAACAAAAGTGAAAAAAAACTTAGTAAATCCTTGATTGCTGTTTTGTCTACATTTGTTATCGTTGCTTATAATTTTATTTTGCTTGTAGTTCACTGATGTTGAAACAATGGCTTCTCCAACAATTTTTGCCGACCGTAGTTTGTCTTATCTTATGAGTGACAAGCCTCAGGAAGCTCTCAACAATGCAATGCAAGCACAAGTAGTTTCCCAGTGTGGCACTTTGTATCTTATCTTTAGGCTGCTGCCCTTTTGGCCCCTTGGAATGGACAGTGAAGCTCAAACAGCACTTGTTATGAACTCTGTGTGAGAATGTATCGTTCTTAGGATATGTAAACACAAGTAAATTTATTCATCTGGTGGTTGATCATTATGTGCCAGGCCCTAGACCTGATTCGAGGTAGAAATCTTTAGATGCTGACAGATTCTTGCTTAGAAGGACACCTTTCTAGTGATGATGGTACTGAGTTGGCATGCTTGGCTTCACAATGTTTACAATCTGAACCCTGAGAGCGACCAAATCCAAGGTCATTAGTTGCTTCTTTGACTCTTCTTCAGAAAGAAACTGAGGTTAGCTCTCTCCTCTGTTTCTCTAATTAAGCATTATATTCCTAACTATACTCGGGGAATATAGTTTGACTATTTTAAATCTTCACACAATTGTTTCTAGATCTATATTTTGGGGCAGTCTTGTGAGCAATATATTATATGTTATATTCTTTTCACTGCAATCAATCTGAGCTATTTGTGTAAGCTCGTATCTAATTATCTGCGGAAATATTTGAAAACTTGGGCAAGGGGCATGACTCTAATTTGTTATTAGTGAGGACTTGAGAGAGCTACACTTTTGTTTAGTGCCTTTCATGGTGAATGATGTAAACCCTTACATAAGTACATATATACTTATTAAATCATATGAAGATCGAACACAACAATGCATATGAACTACGTACTGCAGTAAATGCATGTAGCATTGTTAACCCTAGTTTGAGCATAATGCATTCTGTCGATAGACAATGAATGCATGGAACTTACTCGAGGATGATGCCATGAAGATCGAGATGTGATTAAGACCTTGCCTTCTCTTGGAAACGTATTGGATCTCTCTGCTGTCAATAGGACTAGCACTAGTATTAAGAGAACCATGCCACACCGGAGAAAGGGGATCGAAACCCTAGTTATAAGGATGTAACTGCCCCTCCTATCATGGCTGCAGTTACTTTCAGTTTTCCAACTCCTCATAACCGTTCTCTACATCATTTCGTACAAAACTCATAGTTTTCTCACCTTATATTATACATTGATCGACATGTATAAGTTTCATTACATCACATCTCCTTATGGTAATGTTATTTCATGTCTTTATTAGGTGTTTTGATTCACTTCTCGCATATAAGTTCAAACATTCTCCCACATAAGAATGATCAAAACATCTAATGAAATAACTAACAAGTCACCATTGAGATAAAGAGTTGAAATAAATCTTTCAAACATACTCAAAGAAGCATTAGTTGAACTTTAGACAGTATAATACAATTTGCAGTACCATTTGTACTAAAATCACAGACTAATAGCATTCAAACGAGATCATGTGTGAGAATACACTTCTGAATAAGAGAATTCTTCATTACAAGCATTACTTCGACATTCCTTCAAAAGATCCTATATATTCTGATTCCATTGTAGAAACAGCCCTTGTGGTTTGCTTTCTGCTTCTCCATGACACTACACCCCCAGCCATTATAAAAATATATCCACTCATGGACATTCTATCATCGATGCAGCCTCTCAAATCAGCATCACTATAACAGACAACTTCCAAGTTTTGGACTCGATGGTAACTTAATCATAGTCCTGTGTCTTTTTCAAATACCTCAGTACCTTTTTGCCTGCATTCCAGTGTGCAATACCAGGATTTGATTGAAACCTTCCTAGTACACTTAATGCAAAAGCTAAATCAGGTCTGGTGCATACTTGTGCATTCATGACACTGCCAACTAGAGATGCATACAGCTTATCCTTCATAACTCGAATGTCATGTTGAGTTATAGGGCATTGTGAGAGAGAGAACTTATCCCCTTTACCAATGGGGACATCACCCGCACTGCAAGCTTCCGTATTAAATCTCTTCAACACTCTCTCAATGTAGTTCTTCTGAGATAGCCCCAAGGTTCCATTCTGCCTATTCTTCACAATCCCAATACCCAAAACATAATGAGCCTCTCCCAAATCTTTCATATCAAAACTGTTACATAGAATTTTCTTGGTTTCAATCATTAACTGCATATGAGAGCTTGCCAACGGTATATCATCCACGTATAAAACCATGAAAATGAATTGAGATTTGTGTTGCTTCATGTAGATACAATTATCAATTTGGTTCTCCACAAAACCAAAGTACTGCACAACTTGATCAACACGTTTATACCACTGCCTTGAAGCCTGCTTTAAACCATAAATAGACTTATTTAGCTTGCACACCAGATGTTCTTTCCCCCCTTTCAACAAATCCTGGGGGTTGTACCATATAAATGTCCTCATCAAGGCTACCATTAAGAAAGGCAATTTTAACATCCATTTGGTGAAGTTGCAAGTCAAAATGAGCTGTGAGTGCCATAATAACCCTAAAAGTCTTTGGTAGAAACTGGAGAAAATGTGTTTGTGTAATCCAAGCCTTCCTTTTGTGTGTACCCTTTAGCTACAAGTCGGGCTTTAAGCCTTTCAATACTGCCATGACCATCCCTCTTGGTTTTAAATACCCATTTGCACCCCTTTGCCTTCTTAGTGTCTGAACCATCAACTAAAGTCCAAACATGATTACTTGCCATGGAAGCAAGTTCTTCTGACATTGCAGCTTTCCACAAATCACTCTTAGAACTCTCCGTGGCTTGTTTATAAGTCATTGGATCATCTTCATCACCAAGATCATACTCAACTTCTTGTAGATAACACAAATAATCATTTGGTATAGTAGACTTCCTGGTTCTCATCGATTTCCTTAATAAAGGGTTTCCATAGCACTAGCATTAAGAGAACCATGCCACACCTGAGAAAGGGGATCGAAACCCTAGTTATAAGGATGTAACTGCCCCTCCTATCATGGCTGCAGTTACTTTCAGTTTTCCAACTCCTCATAACCGTTCTCTACGTCATTTTGTACAAAACTCCTAGTTTTCTCACCTTATATTATACATGATCAACATGTATAAGTTTCATTACATTATATCTCCTTATGGTAATGTTATTTCATGTCTTTATTAGGTGTCTTGATTCACTTCTCGCATATAAGTACTAACAAATGATACTCTATAAAATGTCAATCTCTTATGCCCCAAAATTCAGGGTAATTAACGACAAGGGTTTTCAGTGATCGTAGTAGTTTAATCATATATAGATGCTTAACATGGGTATCCCACATGGTACCTCCTGGTCTTCTCTTTCACCATCGGTGAAGCCTGTTCAAGAAGGGATTTGACTACTATACATGATATCCTAGAGAATATCGGCTATAAAGACGATGGAATGACAAATGAGGTCCTATTTTTGTTTAATAAATGGAGAAATATCTAATAAGTTGTGTTGTATATATTTAGCCTTCTCAATAGTTATGTTCCACTGCAGCTCTCATTCCAAATGTGCTCTAACCAAATGCTGGAATCATTAGATTCAAAGAAAAGGGGGGATTCTGCTTTTAAGTACAAGGACTTCAAACCACAATTGAGTGTTATTCACAGGTTAGGTTCTTATTATGATACTTGTGGGAAATTCTGAGTAGAGGTTTGACAAAAGTTGCTTTCCTGTTCTACCGATATCCGAATTTGGCCTTCAATAGGATGTTCTTTATCTGACCAGTTAAAATAAATTACTAAACACAGCTTCGTACGAAATTTTGTTTGGCGTAAGATTTCCAGTCAGAATACGATCGTTACATTTTATCTTCTAATTCATGATAGGAAGATTTGAAGAGAGGAAATTGGTAGCTTAAGGTATCTTAGAGTATTTGCATGATCAATAAAAAAGAACAAAACTCAAAGAAAAAAAAAAAGTAAATCCTTAATTGCTGCTTTCTCTACATTATCGTTGCTGACAGTTCTATTTCACTTGTAGTTCATTGATTTTGGAACAATGGTTTCTCCAACAATTTTTGCCCCGCGTAGTTTGTCTTATCTCATGAGCGACAAGCCTCAGGAAGCTATAAACAACGCAATGCAAGCACAAGTAGTTTCCCCACTGTTTGATATCCTTTCCTATTATATTCTGATTGTATTCGTTTATTTTATTTATTACAAACAATGTATTTTGACTCCATCTGTTTGATATCCTTTCCTAGTATATTCTGATTGTATTTATGTTATTTATTATAAATTTTCAGGATGGCAATCCCAGAATATCCACCTTTGCCTGATGAAAAATAGTAGGGATGGGAAGAGTTATAGTACAAATCTGGCATTTACTCCTCCTGAATATATTAGGACTGGTAGGTAGATCGTGGAAAAAAGCGGCGTTTATTATTATTTACTTGACAAACATCCTTTAAGTATGCACTTCAACAATTATTATACACTGCAGATCTGTCTTGAAGGGAGAGTAATACCAGAAAGTGCAATATATAGGTTTGGACTCTCTTGATTGATCTTCTCAGCAGAAAGCGTATCCCCTCTAGCCATTTAAGTGATTGTTCCAGTGGTGAACTGAACCAAAAAAAAAAAAAAAAAAATCATTTGTAGGAAAAGAGAAATTAGGGAAACTCTTGTAAAGATCTAATGGTTACTCTTTTACCTACGATAAAATAGTTTACTTTCAATTGTTATGAACTCTGCGTGAGGATTTATCCTTCTTAGGATATGTAAACACAAATAAGTAAATTTATTCATCTGGCGGTTGATCATTTTGTACCAGGCCCTAGACCTGATTCGAGACAGATATCTTCAGATGCTGACAGATTCTTGCTTGGAAGGACAGCTTTCTAATGATAATGGTACTGGGTTGGCACGCTGGCTTCACGATGTTTACAATATGAACCCCGAGAGCGACCAAATCCAAAGTGCTTAGTTGCTTCTTTGACTCCTCTTCAGAAAGAAACTGAGGTTAGTTCTTTCTCCTTTGTTTCTCTAATTAAGCATTCTACTCCCAACCTTACCCTGGGAGCATAGTTTGATTGTTTAAAATCTTCACACCATTGTTTCTAGATCTATATTTGGGGGCAGTCTTGTAATCAATATATTCATATGTTATCTTCTTTTCACCAAACTCAATCTGAGCTAATTGTGTAAGCTCGTCGTATCTACCGATTCATAATTTGTTAATATCGAACCTTTGTACCGAGCGGAAATATTTGAAAATTTGGGAAAGGGATATGACTCTCATTTGTTATTAGTGAGGACTTGAGAGAGTTACACTTTTGTTTAGTGCCTTTCATGGTGAATGATACTCTTATGGCCCAAAATTGAGGTTGGTTAATTACAAGGGTTTTCAGTGATACCGTACTTGTTGGGTGCCAATTAGAAGCACTCAGATCTGCAGCATCCTAGTAGTTTAATCATACATAGATGTTTAACATGATGTTGTATGCTGTTAAAATGAAGTACTTCACAGCTTCGTACGAAGTTTGTTTGGCGTTACATCTTATCTTCTATTTCTTGATATGAAGAAACAAAATTGGTAGTTCAAACGAAATTGGTAGTTTAAGGTACGTTAAGAGCATCTAAACCTGGTAACTCTACTTGCATGACCAATAAAAAAGAACAAAACTAAAAGAAAAAAAAATTATTATAGCCTGAATTGCTGCTTTCTCTGCATTTGTTATGGTTGCCGACGGTGTTGTTTTGCTTGCAGTTCATTGATGTTGGAATGATGGTTTCTCCAACAATTTTTGCCCGGCGTAGTTTGTCTTATCTCATAAGTGACAAGCCTCAGGAAGCTATAAACGATGCAATGCAAGCACAAGTAGTTTCCCCACTTTGGCACATTGCATGTTATCTTCAGACTGTTGCCCTTTCGGCCCTTGGAATGGACATTGAAGCTCAAGCAGCACTTAAGGAGGGTACTACGCTTGAATCCAAAAGGAGTAAAGCAGTTGGACAAAAGTGAAAATCTAGTCCGGTCGTCAAGGTGCCCAGTTTTCCACTTCTTTCGGTTTGGCTCTCAGCATATATAGGCGTCGATCGATCATAAGGTTTAAAACCACTGGAGCCAAAGCTTCAGCATTTCCATGGTATTAGATTGTGGTCATTTTCCTGCAGTATATATTGTATTTGATTTGATTTCTTGTGTGTCAATTCGTGTATATGAATTCCTTCGATAAAATGGAAAAAATAAAATAAAATAGAAAGTTGTCAAAAACAGTGGTAGGGAGGAAATCGTTCAGAAGCTTTATAATTTGTGTACAGAAAGCATATAGGATTCCTACTTGGATAAATAAATAAATAATAATAATAATAATAATTAGTTTGTCAAACGTCGTCTGATTGTTGTTAGACACATATAAATTACTACTTGGATACAAATAAAAAATAAAAAGTTAGCCCCTTGAACTAAAATTTACGACGAGCAAAACAATCATATGCAGTCCATAATTAACTCACTTTCTTTAGTAAGTATCATGATTCTAAACATAAACTACAGAATGGTCTTGATAAAGTAAACATAAACATAAAACATCTTACAAACTAACATTAACAAATCATCTGCCAAAGAGATTTAGTAGTAAAGTTCTTTATTATGACAGCTCAATACTTGAAAACTTAAAACAGATAAGGCCCATGAAGCTCTTCTAGTGAAGTGATCCCTTCTGTGCTATCTCATAAGACGCTGAAAATAAAAATACACAAGCACACGTAATTAAGTTCTGAAGAAGACAACCAAATCAATCAGAAAAACTTTACAAATATATGCATGCATATCGCTAATTTAAGAAAGAAAAGTAAAATCACATTTACGTACCATTGCTTAATTGAAGTGCCGCTTGATCGAAATCACCCTCACATAAAGCCAATCATTCAAGACATTCAAGAACCTGATGTACGAGTATCTCCATTGCCTGATGAAAATCAAACTGCCACAGACTCCCCAAAATCCAACAATAAAACCAAGCGCCATGCTGACGTAAAATCCCCATGTTATTAGCTCATCTTTTTCTTCTTCATTGCTTGAGATCACGGTTTCCTGTTGATCATCACACATGTTTTGAAGTGGAGGTCCGCACAGTTGAGGATTTCCAGCATAATTGGAGGGATCAAAACTTTGGAGCTGAGTGCCTGTTGGAATTTTGCCAATAAAATTGTTGTATGACAAGTCCAAGACACTAAGACGATCTATCCGAGCAAGGCTTGTTGGAATTCTGCCATCTATCTGGTTTCTTGACAAATCCAGGATCTCCAATGCTTGCAACTTTCCAATCTTCGCAGGTAGCTCACCTGTCAATCCGTTTATCGACAAGTTTAAAGAAATTAATCCAACAAGATACGTGATTTCAATTGGAATCTCCCCCGTTAACCTATTGCTTGAGAAATCAATTCTCTTCACGAGTCCCAAAGTGTTTCTGTACGAGTACATTCTTCCCTTCCATATGAATGTTGCATCATCCTTATAAACAACATAAACATCATTTATTGACAACAAATGTTGAAGGATCGGAGATGAATTTCCTATTTGTGCCAGAGCAGTCAAATTGCTGAGGCATTTTGGTATTGCACCAGAGATGTTGTTCACAGACACATCCAAATTTTGAATTTTTGTTAGACGGCATAGTTCAGACGGCATGCTTCCGTTGAAGTTATTAGAGGAAAGCATCAAGATAACCAAATTCTGAAGGCTAACCCCTAACCATTTTGGTATGGGTCCTGATAATTGATTGTTTCCAACATCAACAACTTTTAAACTGGTGCAATTCTTCAAGGATGAAGGCAACTCTCCAACAAATCTGTTGCTTCTTAGTTTCAATGTTTCCATGTGATACAGTGAGCCTACTGTGGATGGAATTTTCCCCGAAAAAGCATTGTAGCTCAAATCAAGCATGACTAGATGGTCAAAATGTGTCAAGCATTCTGGAAGCTCTCCGGAGAGATTGTTGCTTGAGAGATTAAGAAACATTAAACTCCTGTATGCTTCACACAAGATAGAAATTGACCCTGAAATGTTATTATTAGAGAGATCCAAATATGACGCATGCAATAGAGTTGAGGGAATTGGACCTTCGATTTGGTTCGAACTCAATTGTATTTCAGGGTAATACGTAAAATTCATTGTCGAATTTGCAAACATTTCTCCAATTTGGTTATTGGAAAGACTGATAAATGTCACGTCACGAGTCGTACCCCAAAACCAGCTTGGAAGGATATCCATAATTCCAGCATCAGAAATATTGAGGTATGAATACTCATTCTGAGTTTGAAGCCATTTTGGAAAATACGGACCCATCTTGGAAGACCCCAAACTTATATAGTCCAATTGAAAAGGTGGAGCCCAATTAGAATTGAAGCTTAAAGCTAGTGAGGTAGAGGACAAATCCAAATATGTTAATCTAGAGAGATTCGAGAAGTGGCTTTCCGAAACCACACCTTCCAGAGCATTCATACTCAAGGCCATATACTCTAGATTAGACAGTTGCCCAATACTTTCAGGTATTGTTCCACTCAATTGATTTGTAGAGAGAAATAATAGTTTCAACGATGAAAAGTTTGTGAGATTAGGAATTGATCCAGAAAGATGATTGTTAGAGAGGTACAGATACTCTAATGAGTTTTGAGCACACGTGGACAACATTTGAACAAACTTGGAAAACTGTCCACTCAGACTAGTATTGCCTAGGTACAGTTCTTGCAAACTGCATAAGCTGGAAAAAGAATGCGGATTCACCGCGTCAAATTTGTTCTGAGAGAGACATAGAAAGACAAGAGAGGTCAAGTTTTCAACGACACTGGGAATTAAACCAGTTAAACTGCTGTTATGGAGGTGAAGATGGACAAGGCTGGCATTGTAGTTAGACAACCATAAATATATTGAAGGAGAAGTGCATTGGTTGTCAGAGAGGTCAACATGAGCAAGAGACTTTGAAGAATTTATGTTAAAAAGAGTACTGGAATGGATTATAGGAGAAGGAAGACCACACCCGTGTAACGTTAAGTTTGTAAGTTTAGGGAGCTTGCTTACTGTTTCCAGCCAGTCATGAACATTACTGAGATTGGTGTTACTCAGATCCAAATATGTTAAAGAAGAAAGACGAGGGAGCCACGAATTCAGATTTTCCACACTGTTAAAGCCATTCCATCCGAGATCAAGATATTGCAAGTGGGTAAGGTTTCCAACTTGACTTGGAAATCGACCACCAAAAGAAGCACCAGAGAGATCGAGGTGTCTTAAATTGGAAAGAGAACCAATGAAATATGGAAGTCGGGTCCCATTGAAGTTGATGGAAGAAAGGTCCAAATATTTCAAATGCTGCAACTCAAGTAGTTTGGGACTCATCATCTTACCTTGCAAAGAATACCACCCAAGATGAAGTTGAGTAACATGGTTGGTTCGGTTGCTGCAGTGGACGCCGACCCATTTGCAACAATCTTGCTTGTGTTCTTCTCTTCCCCACGAAGAGAGGAGATGGTAGTGATCCACGAGGCCGTGTTTGAAAGCAAGGAGTGCTTCTCTTTCCCTCTCAAAGCACCTCACCACTCCTTCTGAAGAAATATTTTTGAATCCAAGGGAAAGGGAAGGGTTGACAGCACATTGCAGTAAAGTGAACACCACAATTAAAGCACGAAAGAGTTTGTTCAAGCACCTGATTCTGATTCTGTCACCCTCCATCTTAATTCAACTAAATCAACCAAGAGACAATTGAAGCACGAAAGAGTTTCTTTAGGATTTTGATTTTGGAGCAAACGGAAAGCTGCAAGTGTAGTTCAAAATGAACGAAGAAAAGTAAAAGCAAAATATCCAATAATTGCGACAATATTTATACAATGGAATATGCCATTTTATCTCAAACACTAAAGAAAGGTAGGCCTACAAGTAGCTAAGTAGAAGCAATGCAATAGGAGACCAAAATATAGCCACATTTTTATTCAAGAATTAAAGTTGCTTCAGTTCAAAAAAGAAGTTTCTTACAAATAACAGTACAAGGTCCTAACCCGGCCTTCAAAAGATAATAAAAAGAGTTTTAAAATTTTGAATCTCAACTACAAGCAATCTAATAATTTTATTCAATAATTAAGGCCAAAAATATTATAAAAATATTAACAAGAACACAAATTAGTTTTCTTCTTTTTCTTCTCTCTCTCCTCCCTTTTCCTCTTCAGTCTTCACCCCCTCTTTTCTTTTCACCAATCCCTTCTGTTTTACCTGTGCCTCATCTATCCAACAAGATCTTCTCCAGATCCTTTTGGTGAGAATCTAGGAATTCATAGATCGTATCCGTTCATCGTAAATCGTACGGATTTTTCTTTTAAATTCTCCCCTCGCTTCCTTTTCACTGGAAAAGGATCCTCCTTTTCTTGGGGATCCTAGAGATTCTGCGCATACATCTTGCGGTCAGTTTTCATTACATACTATTTGTATTTAATTTTAAATTTTAAATTTTGAAATGATTTTTGACCGCACGATATACGATGAACGGTTACGATCGCAAAATCCCTAGAATCCCCAAGAAAAGGATCCGACGAAGATTCTTTTCCCTTTTCACCCTTCACAACCTCTATATATCTTAATTATTTTTTATGAAATTTTCTGTAATTTTTGTAAAGAAAGCATACACGATTGTCGATGTATTATTTCTGATGAAATAAATAATAATTAGTTTGTTAAACATCATGGCATCGTTGTTGACTTAGATATAAATTACTGCTTGGATTAAAATAAAAAATAAAAAGTTAACCCTTAGTAAATTTGACATGATTTTGCACAGGAGTGCAACCAATCCTTTAAACTAAAATCTACGACTAACAAAACAATCTTTGACACGCTATATTTGGGTGGGGAATTTTCAAGCCATGAGATTGAAAGCCAAATTGAAAAGAAAATATTACAAAATGAGAAAATTCTTCAATAATACGTAGAACTGAATGATATATAATGAATGAAGAAACGTAAAATAAAAAATCCAATAGTCGTGAAAATCTTTATACAATAGAATATCCAATAGTTCTCCTTCTCAATTCATATGCCATTAATCTCAAACACGTTACAAAGAAAGGTAGGCCTACAAGTAAAAATCAGAGGCAATGCAATAGGTGACCAAAACATAGCCTGATAAAGTACATCAAGTACCAAGGGCATCTCCACCATCACTATTGAGGACTCTTTCAAGGGCTTCAATGGAATATTCGGATCCCTAAATGAATATTGTGGCCGTTGATGAAAACATGAAAAAAAAAGAAAAAATTATCTCTACCGTTGGTTTCCCAACGGTTAAAAATATGGAAAATGTCACAAGTGTGGTATAGGGTCAACGATTGACGTTGTTTTAGTCTGGCGATGAAAGAAGCTGATGTGCAACATTATCATGCAGGTCAGCCTTGTTTCCCACTCAAAATCTACATTGGTTCCCATTTTTTGAGGATTTCTTTGAAGTATCCTATGAGTCACTATACGTTGGGATACTTAGAGGACCTCTATTCCGCCAATTGGAAGCCCTTTGTCCCTATATTTAGAGACTACAGGGTTGTGGGCACTCCATTTAAGGTTCCCGTTGGAGATGCTGGCTATACAATAATTCCACTAGACACCATAATTGATAAACTGAAAGTTTTTGATGCACCAGATATGAGATATAGGTGACTTTACCTAATTTGCTTTCCACCAATCTACTTTTTTTTCGATTCACCAAGGTATGGAAATCCTAGTGTAAAGGACTTTGAAGCACTACCTTCCCTCAAGTTGAACCATGTTCATTAGAGTCGAATTAAGATTACAATGATTCCACTAGACAGCATGAATTATAAAATGAGACTTTTTGATGCACCAGATACAGGTGACTCTTTACCAAACTTTGAAATAATATAATTATGCCCACCCGCTAAGTTTTGATAAACTATACTTACTTTATAGTAATTCTACCATAAACATATCACTGGTATACGTGGGACAATAATTTCACTAATTTTATCAAAACCGCAATTTTCAAAAGTGGTTATCTTTTTAAGTGAACCATTGAATCTGGGATGAAAGTTAATCTCTTTAAAAGCGAGGCACTCAACACATGCTTCAGTAGTTGGGATGTTATGGTAAAAAAGATCAATATTATTTGAACTAGTGCTGACACCAGAATCATACTTTTCATGTCCATCTTAGGGCTAGAGTTTGGGGGCTACATCTAGCTTTTTTGATTCGAGCAATATTCTAATCTAAACTAAACTATGGGGAGGGGGGTTCGAACTTTGGGTGTAAGTTCAAGTGGAGGCAAACTGCTATAGCCAACTTGCTACACTCGGATACGTTGGGGCGACAAATAGCTCAAGGTAGGGACATTTGTCAGATTGTGATTTAATCCGACCGTATCTAGTTGTTTTCCTTACAAAAAAGGGTGATCCAATGGACACTCGAAAATTGTCTCTGGGCACCCAAGAATGGTTTATGAACAACTAAGAATTTGTCTTTATAGTTGGGTGTCCACAGAATCACCATTGTGCATAAGAATATAGGTGAGTCTTTACCCATTTGAAGCACTTTGTTCCTATATTTAGAGGCTATAGGACTATGGAGACACTGTTTAGATCCCCATTAGAGATGGTGGCTTTATGGGTAAGTCCTTACCTAATTTGTTTTCCACTAAACTACTTTTTTTTCGATTCATCAAGGTATTTGAATCCTTGTGTAAAGTACTTTGAAGCACTACCTTCCTTCAAGTTCAACCACGTTCATTAGAATCAAATTTAGACCAAGAAAGCAAAATAATCCCACTTGATAAACTGCATCAAGTACTAAACTTAGAATTTTGACAAAAGTCATAATTTATAAATCGATATGCACCAATTTTCTTGTTTGTATCATAAACAAAGAAATTTAGAATTTCCGCGTGGAAAAAAAAATTGGAATTTAGGACCTCTAATTCCCAAATTAAATTTCATATAAATAGATGTCATTTTTAAATTTCTTTGAGTAGGAGTTTAAAAGTAAAATAAAATAAATTTCGTAATTAAATTTCATTGTTCTTTTTATGTTAATCAAACAAGAAATTTCACATTTGAAAAAAGAAAAACAAGAAAATTTCCAAATTCTAGAAAATATAATTCTGTCATTTTGAAATTTCTTAGTAATATTAAATTTCTTCATCCAACAGAGTGTAAGACATACAATAATTCCACTACACAACATGATTGATAAAATGAGAATTTTTGATGCACCAGACAGATCATATAGGTGAGCCTTTACCAAATTTACTTTCCACCTAATTTACTGTTTTTTCTAGTTTGCCGTATATAATTTAGAAATAGTATAATTATGCCTATACACTGTTGAATTATGCCCACACTAGTTTTGATAAAATATAATTACTTTACAATAATTCTACAAAGACCATATCACTGATATATATTATATTGCAGTGGGCATTTTTAATGGGATCAGGATCCCCTCTTGAGCTAAGGATGATGATTCTCCTGAGCAAGTCCATCGGGCCGTTCAAATTTTATCCAACAGTTACAATTATTATGACTTTTAAAAAACCCCTGTTTGTAGCCATTGGATAAAATTTAAAAGGTCCGATGGACTTGCTCAAGAGGATCGTCACCCTTAACACAGGAGAGGATCCTGATCCTTTTTAATGAACTATTGAATAGATAAAAGTTTCTCTCTTTAAAACTACCGCACTCATATCACGCTTGAGTAAGTGGGATGTTATGGTGCTTACAGCAGAATCATAATTTTCAAATCATGAGGGTTAAGTTTGGGAACTGGAGCCGCAAGGGAAAGAAACATGGCAGCAGATGGCTTCCCTTGGTCTGGGTTTGCATTTGAGCCTGCATGCACACTTGACACCCTGCAACCGTACTAAGTTGATGTCCTAGCAGATGACTGGTCCGACGTCAAGATATCAGTACCGTACCTCCAGCAAAGATACTTTCTTTCTGGAATAAAATTGCTGACATAAATTTCAATTGATCAATTCATTACATCCATTCTAATATTACAAATTCCACCGATCCCTTTTGAAGAATCAAGGTGAATAAACCATTCTAATGAAAACATTACATCCATTCCAATTGCTCAAATCGTCAATGAAATCCCCCTTTTTCTATATAATGGCGTCGGATTAAAAATTTCTACTAGCAATCAGAGTCTATGCTAGCGGTAGGATTACATAACTGCTTCTTTTCTGCCTCTACCTCGAAATAACTCCTCTGTTACTCCACAGTCTGAACTGTTTCTTTGCTGCCATTAGCTCGAAATGACTCCTTTGTTATTCCATAGTAGACTGGTTCTTCGCCTACAAAGGTAATGAAATTCCAGCCAAAAGCAGACCCACCGACAATATATGTCCCTTGAGTCTGACCATCTTCAGCCTGCTGCTTCTCGCTGGATACACCTGTTGGAAACTTATTTTCTGATGGTTTTACAAAAGCCCTTGTATCTTGGGGCTTTTCACCTGGCACATTCTTACTTCTTGTTGCCGAAACTGTTTCTGCCGTCATCTGTTTGCATAGTTCCATCAGAAGTTTAACGTCTGAAATTTGCAACATACATATGACCATTAGCACATCTCATGATCAATCCATTAAAAGCAACATCTCATGTGATTGGCTCCATCACAAAAACGCCTTGAACTCTAAAGTGTCTAAAGGAATCTAAAAACCGGAGCAAAGGCATATATGGTGCTCAAGAAACTCAGGACAAAACCACATGTCGACATTAGAAGATGAGTGAGACATATGTCTCCTAGTAAAGAAGGCAAAAGGCCAACTGAATGCTACTAACAATATTCTAGGATTGGGTGGCCAACAATAAAACTATCCCAGACTGAGTTCAAGGGTGAAACTCAATATAATCATCCACACGAAAGATTACTAAGCCAAGTTAGCACATGTATGAAAGTCAGATGTCATAACCACCGCAATAACAAACCACTTGCGTTAAGATTACCAAATCAGGTCAGCTTTATCATACAAATCAAGGGATAACTGTATGTCACTGTGTGAAAAGAAAAAATGAAAACAAAATCTTGATGAGCTTACATTCTTGAATTTCTTCAGATGACTTGCAAGTTCGAAAGTCAGGGGTCCGGAGAACCTTCAAGATGACAAAAAAGCAAATTGTTACACTCTCCATACTTCATATAACGTAGCACACAAAGGAAGCCAGTAGCAGAGCAACTAAGAGACAAGGGTAGTCATGGGCCCATCCTGCATTTTTTTTTCGTCTCAAGTATAGGGATATAGCAGCTACTTAGTGAAGTATTAGTTCAAGAAGAACATAGAATGCCAGAAAATATTGGTAACCCTCAATGAATCTCAGAAACGTGTGAATTGTATCTAATATATGTATTAGTTACATCAGGAGTATCCTAAGCTATCTATCATCTTCTTCTTCTTGATTACTTCAAGTTCATCTTAGGGTGAACTTAGGGTGAAGAAGAACTAAACGTCTAGTCCACCATTTTCCCCATCTTTTCCCTTTTTTTTCTTGGTTTGAACTTCTAGTCCACAATTGTAATCTACTTCTATCTTAGCCTATATATCAATCTATGATGCATAATTTCTCTCCATATATGAGTTGGAAAGAGAAAAAAATATAAATATAATCAATTTATGCGGTTCTTTGTTGTATTTTAGATGTCAAAATGTAGGATTTAGAGAAATTACTTGAGAGTGATTACATCCACATCCATGTTGGACTAACAACCTAATGCACTTTAAAGCAGTCATGATCTTCTAAATTCTAGGCATCAAATACAGATTACATACCAATACAACATGCTTAACACATTACACTTTGCCTGCAGCCTAAGACAATCGAGCAATATCGGTAATGTTAGCAGATAAACACTAATATTGACAGTTTCACTTGACACAAATTAGAAACACCTCAATTCACTTAGAACCATAAATTACTTGCCTTCATTTTCGCTATATCCTAACAATGGTTACTAATAGTTCGAGTATTAAACGTTCTGCAACGAAAAATATGAAACACCTCATACTAATAACATTTCCATCAAAATCATTATTTAAACAAACTTTTCACTGCGGAGCTACTAAGGGCACCTAAAATGTAAGTACAAGGCAGAAGAATACAAAGATTGCACATTTATTTAATCTTTTTAGAGAAAAATGAAATCTTTAGAAATGTTAAAGACGTGCAGATTGTGAATTCAAACAAACCCGAATACACAATTCAACAAAAAGAAAACCTAGATCACAAAAACATTAAAAATTTACAAGAAATTCAAATCAAGATGCAAAATTTGGGAGATGGGTTTTTAACTGTACCTCGAGAAAATGAGGACGGACCTCTTTGAGGACGGCGCGAACCTTGTAGAGGGTAGATGAGTTGGAGAAATGGGCATCATTTTCGAGAGGTCTCTTCTTCGTCTTGGAAGGAAGAGAAGACGGCGGAGGTTCTGGAGGGAGGACTTCGGCGGAGCTCGGAGGGGTTGTGAGGATTTCGGTGGCTGAGGACTCCGCTGGTTTTGGTTCTTCCATTGGTTCCTTGATGGTGTTTGTCTGGGGGAGTTGAGCGGACTGTTGCCTTTCTGATTGCAGGAAGCGAGGTGCTTGTGGTGTGTTTGGCTATCAGTGTAAGCTTAAATGCTTTACATAGAAAAAGTTATGCATTATATCCAAAACGGTTCCTCGTACTGACATAATTTTTTATTTTGATTCTTAAGATTTAAAATTGATAAAATTGGTTTCTAAGATTGTTTAACATCAATCATTTTGATCATTATGCAAGAAATCTCCATTTAATTGATGGTATTTTTATCAAATCAACCATTCTCTTGAATTGGTGGTTTTTTCAATTTAACAAAGATTGTTCATAAAATGACTAAAATAATTAACGGTGGACAATCTCAGGGACCATTTTTATCGATTTTAAATCTCAAGGACAAAAGTGGAGAGTTATTTCAATCTTAAAGATCATTTTAGTTAAAAAGTTAACAAAAAAAAGTTTGAGAACTTGCAGGGCACGAATATATCACTGTTGTGGCGCTACTAGACTTATGTGTTTGGCTTCAATGAAAGTTAAAGTGCTTATAATACAAAAATATGTAAATTTTTGTCAACAAAAGGTTTTGTACTAAGACCACCTCCAATAGTTGAGTTTAAACTCACTGTTCAAGTTTTAACTTTGCCCAAAGCTGCTCTAATCATTAGGCTAAAAAACATTTTGGGTTAAAACTTATTTTTGGGCCAAACTTAACCTAGAAAATGAGCCAAGGTTGTGGTTGGGATCGAGTTGCTGACGTTGTCGACCACTTGCAGAAAGACCAACAACTTTTTTATTTTACCGAAGAGCCCATGTGGTTCAACCATTGGTTAAATTCAATTTTGTTTTAAATAAATCAAATTTATAAATACATTAAATTCAATGGTTGAGATCTAATATGAGCAAATCTAACGGTAAAATAAAAATCTAACAATGCAAAATTAAATCCAAATAGCTAAAACAATTTAAAAAATTTAATCAAAATTTCCCCAAAAGCTCTATAATTACCTATGTATTTGTTCAAATACCCACACTAAATTCACTTTCGTCAAACATTTTTTCTCCCTTTTTTCTTTCTACTCTCCTATGTATCTGTGTTTAAAAATGAGGTGGATTGTGTGGTTTTCTATGTTCTTTCATGTGGTGTATATGTGTAGAATGAGGTAGGTTTAATGATTTTTATTTAAATTACCGAAAAAGAAATTAAGCTAAAATCATTTATTAATAATTTCAGACTAAAACTTCAAGCCAAAACTATTGGAAGAAAAAAATTGTTTCTGAGTTTGAATCTAAAATTTTATGGGCTAAAAATTTAGATTTTAACCCAAATCATTAGAGTTGGTCTAATTGGTACACTGATATACAGGTGTCTTGTACCAATGCATGTTTATAATATAAAGATATGGCACCCACTTGTAACTCTTTGTTCATTAATGAAATTATGCTATTGTTTCTGTTAAAATACACACACACACACACCATTGTGTGTGTAAATTTATGTTTACATAATATTGTACTAATTAATGGCACATTGCTATATCAGTGTCATGTAAGTGCTCTCTACTTACATGAATAATTGTTATAACTACAAACCAAATGGTACATTTTGATATTTTACTAGAAGGGTTGATTACAAATTTTGTCCTTCAACTCCTTGAGAGTTTTACTTTTAAGTTGGTCCTTAAACCTATGCATGTATATATACATATACATATATATATATATATATGTATGTGTGTGTGTGTGTAGTGAAGACAATTAGTGATGTCAATCACAAAAATTGATATAAAAAAAAATCGCGAACAATAGACTTAAGGAACGAGAACAACCTCGGCCATGTTCAGTGACAGAGCAACTTGAGGACTAGAATGGGCATGAGTCCTTGGAATTTTTAAAAAATTGGAACACCAATTAGTAAATTGACCTTTTAATAATTACCACCCACCCTTCAACAATCCCTAACCATCCTTGGTGTCTCACGCAAGGACTAATCACTCCAATTTTGTTCTAATATATTGGACCTGTATCTTCTCTCATTTTTCTATATTTTCTTCTATTTTCGATTCATCTATTTATTTTTAGACTTGTGAAACCAAAATTAGAATAGAAATAAACTTTTTTAGACTCATAAAAACAAAATCAAATTTTTTTCTCTCGCTTCTTACACAAACACACACACACACACGCAACGGAAAATATTTTCTCTGCCTATCCTTGTATTTTCTATGTGCGTTTAATTCTTTTATATGATGCTACTTAGTATTACGACGTTGTGATATTCTTCTTCACTTGTAAGTGAGAGGTCTTAAGTTCGATTCTCGCTAAAGATAAATTTGAACCACATTATTGTTAGCCCATTGTAAGGTTAAGCTCACACTCTTCCCTTTAATGTATATAATATTGTTTTTTCAAAAGAAAAAAAAAATCTTTTATATGATATTTCGGTCAAATGGATGGATTACGCCCTTCCATTCCATTTCCCCCATTTTCTAGTGCCCTATCTTACTGTTCCTACAAAAAAGCTCAATAACAATTTATGATTTTGAGATGGGTCCCTTTTTAGAAGAGGTTACCACTGATTTATACAACCACCATGTACATAACTTTTAAACACACTTTACAACTTTTATCGTACTGGTGCTCTCGTCATTGTTGTCCTCATTAGACACATTTTTAAATTTTGAAGACTACTGCAACCCTAAAAGAGGAATTTTCTTTAACTCCACGACTAATATCTTTTAGCACTAGTTTGAGGTGCCACATGATAAAAAATTTTATCTCGTTATAGAGGAATGGTAAAACTATAAAGGATAATATTGTAACTACACTATCTAGAGATATTATTTAGTGGTTAAGATTTTTGTTTGATAGTTACTTTCTGTTTGTCTAGAGGTTACAATATACTTGTATATAAATACTCAAAGTGTAAGATTATTTTCTAATGAAATGAAAACATATTTTATCTAATATGGTATCACCCGCCTACCTATCTCACGACTTTTCTTTCTTCGATCCTAACCGTCGCACTTCCTTCTGCGATCATCTTCTCTGATTTCTTGATCGCAGTGTGATCTTCATCTCTGATTTCTTGATCATCGTTCGTGTTCTTCGATCATCCTTCATCGCTCTCTGTCAATGACGACCTCTACATCTCCTTTGTCGGAATCCGTTTCTCCAGTTCATCCTCTTTCGACTGCACCTTCAAACCCTAATTCTTCCATTTCTTCCTCTATTACGATCCAAAACATTGGATCCATGGTGCTAATCAAGCTCACCACCATAAATTACTTGACCTGGAGTGCTTTCTTTGCTCCAATTTTTCGCCGGCATAATTTGACTGGTCTTATTGATGGATCCATGGCGGCACAGCCTCAGTTTATCTCGATTCTTCAGGCAATCGCATCCTCAATCATGCCTATGTTTCTTGGTATGAGAATAATCAGAATATTCTCATTTGGATCAACTCTACGCTCTCTGAATCTCTCATTCCTTATACTGTCGGTGTGAATTCGGCTCGTGAACTTTGGGCGAAATTGGAATCAAACTTGCCATGGCTTCTCAATCTCACATTCATGAGCTTTGATCTCGCCTTCGTAATCTTACCAAAGGTGAATCCACTGCTGCTCATTATCTTCAGCAAATTGAGGCTATTGCTGATGCCCTTGCTAGTGTTGGTTCTTTGGTTGAAAACTCTGATTTGATCTCGGTCACTCTTCATGGTCTTCCTCTTAAGTATGATTCGTTTGTTCAATTTCTCCTTGGATCCACCACAATTGATGAATTACATGGTCTGCTTCTTAGCAAAGAGATACAGTTGGCCAATCGCAAGAAAAGTGGATCTGCTTTATCATCGTTTTAGGCTCTACAAACCTCTGCTGGTATTCTTCCACTTCCTGCGTCAAATCCTAACTCTCAGGCATTTGTTGCTCAGTCTTCTACTTTTCCTCGTCAAGGTCGTGGACTAGATAGTAATCACAATCGTGGCTCTCCCAGATTTTTTAACAATCAGAGGTCAAGTAATTTCAATTGCTTCAACAATAATAATCAGCGTTCTAATCGTGGAGGTCGAAATACTTTCTCTTACAACAAGAAGAACTCTTGTCAAATCTGTCATCATTTTGATCATGAGGCTTGTGATTGTCCCCATCGCATGAATTCGGCCTATGGTGGGAAATCTTCTCATTCAGCAATGATGGCAAACTCATCTTCCTCCACTCCTACTTGGATTTTGGACTCTGGAACCACCTCACACATGACCAATTCTTATGCTAATCTGCAAAACCCTAAAGCCTACACTAGTCCTGAACAAGTGTACATTGGTGATGGCAAAAGTTTGCCCATCACTCACTCTAATTCTACTGTTTTGCATACTCCCAATAATGTGTTTAATCTAAATAAAGTCTTATATGTTCCTGATTTAAAACACAATCTTTTATCTGCAAATCAGTTTCTGATTGACAATCATTGCTCATTGCATCTTCATCCTTCTCACTTCACTGTGAAGGATCTTTCTTCGGGGAAGATGCATTTTAAAGGACCTGTTCAGCATGGTTTCTATCCATTTCTTTTCTCATCATCACCAATTGGTTCTCCTAAAGCTCTTACAACCTCTGTGAAAGCCTCATGAGATCTCTGGCACAGCAGATTGGGTCACCCCTCTGTGAAAATTGTTAATAAACTAGTATCTCAATCTTGTATTTCAATTTTACCTAATGCTGCTAAGTTTTTCTGCTCAGATTGTGCGTTAGGCAAATGCTCTCGGCTTCCTTTTGTATCTACTGTTTCTACAACTAGCAAGCCTTTAGAACTCATTCATACTGATGTTTGGGGCCCCTCACCCGTCACATCTTATCAACGTTTCAAGTACTATGTCATTTTTGTGGATGACTATACAAGATATTGCTTCTTCTATCCATTGAAATACAAGTCTGATGTACTGTCCACTTTTATTCAATACAAATCTATGGTTGAAAATGCTTTGTGCACAAAATTATTG